AGCGTCCAGCCCAGGGGACAGCGCCCAGCCAGGGGACCAGACCTTTCCAGGGCCAGAACAGACACTGCCAGGGGCCAGAGGCCGGCCCAGGGGACAGTCCCAGCCCAGGGGACAGAACAGAACACTGCCAGGGGACAGCGGCCGGCCCAGGGGACAGAACAGAACACTGCCAGGGGCCAGAACACTGCCAGGGGCCAGAACACTGCCAGGGGCCAGAACACTGTCAGGGGCCAGAGGCCGGCCCAGGGGCCAGAACACTGCCAGGGGCCAGAACACTGCCAGAGGCCAGAACACTGCCAGGGGCCAGAACAGAACACTGCCAGGGGACAGCATCCAGCCCAGGGGACAGAGCCCAGCCCAGGGGCCAGAACACTGCCAGGGGCCAGAACACTGCCAGGGGCCAGAGGCCGGCCCAGGGGACAGCACCCAGCCCAGGGGACAGAGCCCAGCCCAGGGGCCAGAACACTGCCAGGGGCCAGAACACTGCCAGGGGCCAGAGCCCAGCCCAGGGGACAGAGCCCAGCCCAGGGGCCAGAACACTGCCAGGGGCCAGTCCCCAGCCCAGGGGACAGAACAGAACACTGCCAGGGGCCAGAGCCCAGCCCAGGGGACAGAGCCCAGCCCAGGGGACAGAACACTGCCAGGGGCCAGAACACTGCCAGGGGCCAGTCCCCAGCCCAGGGGCCAGAACACTGCCAGGGGCCAGAACACTGCCAGAACAGAACACTGCCAGGGGCCAGCATCCAGCCCAGGGGCCAGAACACTGCCAGGGGCCAGAACACTGCCAGGGGCCAGAGCACTGCCAGGGGCCAGAGGCCGGCCCAGGGGACAGCGCCCAGCCCAGGGGACAGAGTCCAGCCCAGGGGACAGAGTCCAGACCAGGGGACAGAGTCCAGACCAGGGGACAGAGCCCAGCCCAGGGGACAGAGTCCAGCCCAGGGGACAGAGTCCAGACCAGGGGACAGAGTCCGGCCCAGGGGACAGAGTCCAGACCAGGGGACAGCGTCCAGCCCAGGGGACAGAGGCCGGCCCAGGGGACAGAGCCCAGCCCAGGGGCCAGAACACTGCCAGGGGCCAGAACACTGCCAGGGGCCAGAACACTGCCAGGGGCCAGAGGCCGGCCCAGGGGACAGCACCCAGCCCAGGGGACAGAGCCCAGCCCAGGGGCCAGAACACTGCCAGGGGCCAGAACACTGCCAGGGGCCAGTCCCCAGCCCAGGGGACAGAGCCCAGCCCAGGGGACAGAGCCCAGCCCAGGGGACAGAGTCCAGTTCAGAGGACAGAGTCCAGCCCAGGGGACAGAGCCCAGCCCAGGGGCCAGTCCCCAGCCCATGGGACAGAGTCCAGCCCAGGGGACAGAACCCAGCCCAGGGGACAGAGTCCAGCCCAGAGGACAGAGTCCAGCCCTGAGGACAGAGTCCAGATCAGAGGACAGAGCCCGGCCCAGGGGACAGAGCCCGGCCCAGGGGACAGAGCCCGGCCCAGGGGACAGAGTCCAGCCCAGAGGACAGAGCCCAGCCCAGAGGACAGAGTCCAGCCCAGAGGATAGAGCCCAGCCCAGGGGACAGAACCCAGCCCAGGGGACAGAGCCCAGCCCAGGGGACAGAGCCCAGCCCAGAGGACAGAGTCCAGCCCTGAGGACAGAGCCCAGCCCAGAGGACAGAGTCCAGCCCAGAGGATAGAGCCCAGCCCAGGGGACAGAACCCAGCCCAGGGGACAGAGCCCAGCCCAGGGGACAGAGCCCAGCCCAGAGGACAGAGTCCAGCCCTGAGGACAGAGTCCAGCTCAGAGGACAGAGCCCGGCCCAGGGGACAGAGCCCGGCCCAGGGGACAGAGTCCAGCCCAGAGGACAGAGCCCAGCCCAGAGGACAGAGTCTAGCCCAGGGGACAGGGTCCAGCCCAGGGGACAGAGTCGTCACTGTCCCCCTCAGCAGCTCTGTTTGCTCTCACCGAGACTTCTTTCCCCGTGTCTTCTGAAGACAGAATGGCCTCAGCCAGGGTCACGGTGGACTTGTACCAGAACTCCTCGCTCCCTCCCAGCTGCTGGGCCTTCTCGATCATTCTCCTCGCTCGTCCGTAGTGTTCTCCTTGTGGGCCAGCTGTGCCAGGAGCAGCAGACACTGGGACTGTGCACATGGGTCTTCC